GTGTGTGTGTGTGTGTTGGTTGATATACAGAGAGTGCTGAGGATCCGGCTGACCTAGCAAGAGCTGTAGCGTTCCTTTTTCCAGTTCCTTGAGAGAAAAGCAGGAATTCATGCTGGAATGACTCACGGTCCAGAAAGAGGTTTCTGCCTTCTGCACATGGGAATTAGTGCCATGACATTGCTTAGGGCAGGGGTCTTCAAACTTGGCCCTTTTATGACTTGTGGACTTCAACTCCCAGAATTCCCCAGCCAGGCACGCTGGCTGGGGAATTCTGGGAGTTGAAGTCCACAAGTCATAAAAGGGCCAAGTTTGAAGACCTCTGGCTTAGGGGATCAAACCTAATAAAAACTGGAAGGAATACCAAAGGGAGGGAGATAGAAATGGAGGGGACAGGAAGGAGGGAGATGGTACATAGCTTATGGACTTAAAAAAAAAAACCTATCTCTAACTCTTTATATCACCAGGCTGTGTTGGGATTGGATCTAGGATAATCCTGCAATAGATTTCTTGAAGTTGAAAATGGACAGCTGACAAGGTGACCATTAAAAAAATGCCTGTGCCTTTTTGGTGATTTGGAACTCACTGTACCCTTCCATAGAGGTTCAGTACAAGACAAACCACAGTATTCCCTTGAAAAAAATATTCTAGGTCAGGCTTTTCCAATATTTGGGGCTTGGTGAACAATCCGAAAGTCCATGAATGGGTTGATGAGCTGAAGAGTTTGGGTCCTACTCTAAGTGGGTTGTATTTATGTGATAGATATTGCTCAATGCAGGAATGTGTATAAAGTCTTGTGCTCCTTGAGCAGAGTTTGACTTCTAGTGACATAAGTAACACATCTAGGTAGTTTTCTTAGTAATAATTCAGAAGTGATTTGCCACTGCCTTTCTAGTTCAATCTACACCTTTGGGATTTTTTTTGATACTCTCCCATTTTTCCAAGTGTTTTTCCAAGATCAGCCATGCAGGGTGATAGTGCCGCTGTAATAAAAATGTTTTTCAAGAAAAAAAGCCACAAGATTGCGACATATTTAACAATATATATTTAATATATAATTTCTAGATCAGTACATTCAGTTTAATGTGTTTTTCTTCACAAACAGAAGAACTCTTACAATAGTAAATTTCTAAAATAAATACTATTAAAATAGAGCTTCGAAATAAATATTCTATACAAAGGAAAACTTCTGTGGTAATTTTTTTTTCAGTCGAGGAAAGAAGTAAAGAAGAGGGAAAACCTGGACTGCTCTCTGTAAAAGATTAATAAAAATAACCTAACCATGCACAGAGCTCAGGACAGCAACTTGAAAAAGCAGCTATTTTACTTTTGCTAAAGCAACAAGAGACAGAAATAGCAAGTGCTGTGCCACTGTGTGCCCACTTTCCGTCTCCTTGCTTTGTATAGAATTATGCTGCCGGGCAGGTCTGAGAAGAAATAATGTTTGCTTAAAAGAAGGGATGGAACGATGACCCTTACTTGGTGTGCATTTTTCTTGTTTGTCCTGTTGAATAATGAAGGCCCATCCATCTGAGGGGAGCCTTCAGGACAAAGTGAACCACCCAGGAAAGATAAGTGAGGAAGAGGAAGAGGTCAAGGAGAAGAAACTTTTAACATCTTCCACCACTGGCCATTCAGGAAGTGGTAGCCAGCTGCCAAGAAGGCCATGGGTTCTTTGCTTTTCCCAGAGGTGGGTGGGTGGATATCTATTTAGATTGCACTTTTGATGCTTCTGAACAATTTCCTTGTGAATCAGGATCCAGCCTGACCATCCAGTAGAGTGCAAGGAAGTTCCCTGGATTAGCCAGTCAGATCTTAATTACACATGGATGTGGTGGTTCTGTCTCTTGAGAGGATGAGGTGGTGAGAATGGTGAATGGGGCAGAGGAGAAGAGGACCAGCTGTAGAACAGAAAGGGTAAAAGGGTGAGGGTAGCAAGGGAGGACCTTTGCAGGCAGAGCATTCAAGAAGACCATCTCAAAGGAATAGCATGAAGCAGTTCAGGGTCTTCTTGGGCTGGACTAACCCAGAAAGTTTTCAATGCTCGGCAAGAATGTTGTCAGTGGTGTTGCTAGGTCTCGAGGAAAGAGCCGTAGAAACATGCGGACTGACTGCTACACAAGAGGGCTAGGCAGGAGGGGGGGGGGAAGCTGTGGAGGCTGGCAACTGAATTCTGCTTGCATTTTCAGATTCTCCCTTTCCACGGTCTTTTTCACACATAATCCATCTCCAATACGCTGATATCGATAGATTAAAAACAAGTTTCAAAAACCCACACAGCAATTTAAGTGGTTTTCAACTATGTACAGTAACAATAAAAGCCCCAAGTTTTCTTTCTTAAAAAGTCTAAGAAATATAGACAAGTATAACAGGTCAAAAGTTTGACCCATCAATTTGGATGTTCTGCTACTTTGTCTGACTTAAGATTGCTAGAATTTACTTATTCTTATTTTTTTTTAAAAAAAATATTGCTTGATCAATATTGCTGCACACTTAATAGGAACAAAAGGAACAATAAGACAGCATTTTCAACTTAGTGACCTCCACATGTTTTACACATTAGTTCCCCGGCTGTCAGGAGGATGTGGAGATGAAGTTTTAATAGACACCACTTTGAGGAATGCCGTAACAAAGCATTTATGGTTGGATAGTGCTACTTCATTACCATGAATATTGACAGGGGTGAATATATTCAACAATATGTTGCCTAAGGTTCTCTTTTTATTTCTTCACTCTGCCCCCAACCCCATGCCCCTGAGATTCTCTCAAGTATTTGTAAGAACATCCATAACACATACTGAGCAGAATCTACAAGCAGGAACTTGTAATCTCCACTGAAATGAATGGAAGAAGAAGATTCTTGCAGATCTCTCCCACCATTCATCTCAATGGACAAAGGTTTCCAAAGGTCTCCTTGGCAAGGCTAAGCTCAGATGTCAAGGACTCATAAAACAAATGCTCCTTCCTATAAAATAGAAGAACAGGAACATATAAAAATATTAAAACTAATTTCCAGCCAGTAAATATCTACCGTCCTAGATAAACTCTCCATCATGAAAAAAAAATGAGCATATTCTTCTACTAGCTTATTCCTAAAATAATATGAAAATTGGCTTCTTTCTCTCTACATAGTTGATTAATTTTGAATCAGTACCCTGAGTTTTTCTTTTCTAATTAAAGAGAGAAATACTCTTCACTTTTACAGACCAGCTTTTTTACATGCCGGTCATTTCTATTTCTTGTGTAATGTCAATGACTTTCTGTTTAGCTTCTTGTAATAAGGTTAATCCACTGGCCTTGAGCAGGGATCCTTCCTACCTAAAAAGCATCTTAACAACCTTTGTTGCTGTCCAAGTGCAAAGATTAACCTTTCCAGCCTCCAGCCCTTCAAATATATTCCACTCCCCGTTTTTCTCTATCCCTCCCAGTCAGCACTGGAGCCAAAGAACTTGTAATCCAACCTACCCAGGGGGCACCGATTTCAGGAAGTTTTGAGATTGATAGATGATATCTGGAAAGGGGTGGCTGACAAAAACTGTAGGCACTTTGTCAGAAATATGCCCCTCAAGCTTATTCCCCCCCACCACCACCACAGCACTTAAAAAAAAATGTTAGCAAGCCTTCTGTAAGAACAGTGGCATGCTACGTTATAGAAAGAGGATTAAGCAACAACTATCTGTTTTGAGAATTAAAATATTGAGTGTATGCTGTTTTGTCAAAAACAATTCCATTTTGAACAGAGTTTGGGATTGTGCTGATCCATTTCTAACTGACCCAAGATACTCAAGTATATTGTGCATGGTTTGGATTAATCCTTCTGATGCAGAGTAACGGCTAATTCTTAAGCTTCAGCTCAAGCATAGCATCTGATTTAATAAAGTATAATTTATTTCAGGAGACCTGAACTGCTTGTAGTTATCCTGAAAGTACTGTTGAGATTAGTTCCCTTGAAATTTATGCTCAGGTTTTCCTTCTTCTTCTTCTTTTGTGTAGCAGGATCTTATTTGTTCAATAAAAATGTGCAATAATGATCAAGCAACATAATGCACTATTTCAAATGTATGCTCAGAATTTTCTGCATCTGAAATGCAAAAAGGGGCTTAAAGTCCTAGAAACTCTTTTGGCTGGGAATTCTCTGACCGAGTTGGGTACATAGCTTTTTAAACTTGCTCCAGCCTTTAAACATCGAAAACCTTATATTACCATTTGCTCCTACGGACGTTAATGGATAGAGTTTAAGCTGGTGGCCGGCCGGTGAGTTGAATTCTTTGTGGAACTTGCAAAAGAGAATGAATTCCCCCTCCCCACCATTTCTGTTACGAGAGATTGGGATATTTGCTTGTTAATGGCAGTAGAATCAACAGGAGTTAAAGGTAGTGCTAATCCAGGTGTTAAGCTCACCCAGGGCATTTAAATCTCTATGGGGAGGGCACAGAATGCCCTATCCCTGAATCTACCCATCTGGTCAATCTTGAACCCTTTATTCAAGTTTGAATACTCTGTTGAAGCTTAATACCTGAGAAGAGCTACTGATTTTATACATATTCAGAAAGATTATTTTTAAAAGGAGTACTCTCACAACATACAGGCACAACAATGACAACAACAAAATGAGGCGGTAAGGAACATTCTTGTTAAAGCCATGAGGGAAACTTAGTCCTTACTGCCCGTAACCTATAAATATCTTAATTGGATGGTGGCCCTGAACTGAAGTCCTGCTTCCATCTGCTGATGTACGTGCCAAGCCTACTTCTGGATTATTCTTGCAATCTCTAGATTGATCAAACTGCCAGGACTAAGAACTAGGAGAGGAGATGTCTTCAAATTGCTCCATGTAGTCTGTTTTGGCCCTTGTACTGTAAAATATCTCCTTCCTTCCTTCCTTCCTTCCTTCCTTCCTTCCTTCCTTCCTTCCTTCCTTCCTTCCTTCCTTCCTTCCTTCCCTGCAAAAGGCTGACATATGTTATACTCTGACACAGGTGACAGAACACCCTTCCTGTTTTCTTTTTCCATCCTGCACTTCCCAACATCTCTCCCAGCAGTTAAAAAGATTTCTCCGGTCTGCTGTCAGCTTTCCCATCTGGGGACGCTTTACAAATCACGCTGTTTGTGTTTTTGCACCGGCATCCAGGCCGACTCACTCGATCGTAGCATCGCTGCGCTAGCTTCACACAACCAGTGGCTGGTAGGTAGCACAGCAAGCAGGGGAAAACCAGGGAGAGAGCGCTCATGAAGGACCAACGGGCACAGCAGTTCGAGTGGGAGCAAGAGCAGGGATGGTCTGCACAGGAGCCCTCATCATCCTCGTTGGTGCAATGGTAGAATATGCCCTTCACCAAGCACATGCAGGTTGAGTAATTGACCAGGTTCTGGGCTGAGCACAGACATTCCTGATTGCACACCCAACATGAGGGCAAAGTCCTAGGCAGGGCACATTCCTTACACTTGCATTTTCCACAGGCTTCACACAGCAAAAAGTGCTTGTCCAGCTTCAGAGAGGGGAGTCCTTTCAGATCCAAGGGCTTGCAGTGAACTGCCTTGGGTTGAAGCCGAACTGCTCTTGGGGAGGACTGGTCAGCCACGGGAGCTGGGACCATGTGGTCCAAAAGCCTCTGATCTGAAGATGTGCTGCTGCTGCTGCTGATGGAGCTGGGTCGCCCACTGAAGGAGATCCATGGATGGGTGACATCTTGCTCACACCTTGGTGGAAGGGTGGGTTCGTGGTGGCCCCGGGGAGGTTTCTGAGCAACCAGTTGAGCCAGCGTGGGATTGTCAATGTAGTCATTTTCCATATGTGTGGTCTTCATCTGGTCAATAGGCAGGATAGTCAAGGGATGTTGCAGTCTGCCATAAGGGATTCGGCTCTCTAGAAGAGGCTGTACCATGGTAGAATTGGGGACCACAGTCATGTTGTGAGGCATTCGAGGCTCCATTTTCTTTTTCAGGCTGTCCAGCACTGGGAAACCCTGCTTTTAAGTGTCCTGAAAAAAGGAGAATAAAGAGAAAAGAGGCTGAGATGTTATCCATTGCTGTCAAGAATTCCAACAAAGAGCTGAGCTGTTTCTCTGCCAGGGTTGTCCCAGGGTCAATCCTGGCGGTTTACAGGTTAACTCTTTGGAGTGTTGTCAATCCCATAGATGTGAAGTGACAATGGATGTGCAAGTGGAGTTGGAATGGCTCTACACCAGTGTTTCTCAACCTTGGCAACTTTACGATAAGTGAACTTCAACTCCCAGAATTCTCTAGCTAGTGTTGCTAGCTGGAGAATTTTGGGAGTTGAAGTCCACACATCATAAAGTTGCCAAGGTTGAGAAACACTGCTCTACACTGTGGTGGCACCTCCATGGGATTATTTTTTTAATACTGGGGGAGAGGGGGAAAAAAAGCATATCTATTGTTGTTAAGAAGAAAAAAGATAGAATAACTAGTATGGTGTATGAGAACCAATCTAATGCAGAGTTTAAAATTGGAGAGACCCAGGGTCTTGGGAACCCTGCTTGGGGACTTCCAACCAGTCACTCACTCTCTCACAATATCTCACAGGATTGTTTTGGGGTTTTAAAAAATGGGACAATGGAATACTATTAAATAAGTAGCTAGGACAAATGCCTTCTGCGGGCAGCACTAGGAGCTGTCCACCCAGAAATCCACCTTCAGTGAAGGCTTCAAGCCAATGTGGCTTCAGTATGCAGGGATCCCTATCTTTTTTTAGCCATGGGGACACTTCCTTCGTGGTCTCTGCAAGAATTTTTTTCACTTTTTAAAAAATGTTTCTGATTTCTGGATGGCCAGAATTGTAGGAGTCATTATCTAAATTTAATAAATAAATGCATTGCACAGGTTGCTTCTCTAGGGAACCTTTATAGACACACATGTATGCAACACTTACTGGAATTAAAAGGGATCTTCTGGAATTAACCTGATTTCTACAAGGAGTCTCTTCAAACATGACCTAGCAGAAGGGGGAAACTTTTTGTGGACTGTAGCATATATCTGTGGATGTTTTAAGGATGGCAGTGTTAACTTAGGAACAGATTAGAACCTGGTTTTGGGAAAGATAGAAAGGCAGTGATTGGCTTAACTCACAGAGTGGGTGTGAGACTTAAATGGAAAGCTACATGTTCTTTATGGATACTTGAAATAAAAGAGGTATACAATGACAGACATTGCCAATAGTTTTCTGCAGAGTGCAATAAAATAAGGGAAACCTGGAGCACAGAATTGGAATCAAGAGTCTTAAATAGAACTGTACTATTGAGTTAATGACACCGATTCTTGCCACAGAAATTCTGGGCCTGCTGCCCATAGTGCCATCTGTCAGCCTCAGTTTTCTAGTCTCTAAATATGCAGAATAGTTATGATGACTCATTTGTTGAATCCGTACCCAGTTTCTGAAGGTCCAAAAGTAAAAGATGATAAATTAAGAGGAAATGTTAAAAATGCATACATAAATATTGCCTAAAATCCAGCCAAAAACAAATGCTGCCAACTTATTCAGAAATATCTGTGAACGGAAGAGGGGCGTAATGTCATCATTCATCACTCTCACTCATTCACAGGTTACAAAAAAAAAAAAGGTTGGCCATGAATGGATGCTAGTCAACTTGATGCCCTCCAGATATGTTAAGATTCTAACTCTCAGAATTTCCAGATAGTGATCATGCAAAACTGGATCTTGTAATCACTGCACATCTTGAGGGCACCAATTTGGGAAAGGACCCCCACATAAATCAAGGTACAGATGCTCTGATTCTAGAAGACATGGAAAACACAGGAAAGGAGAGTCTCAATTTTTACATCAACAGTATTCAATGTGTGTTCTCAACCCTCATTTTTATACCTTCAAATGTCAACTCATTCTAAATGACTGATTTCATAGAATTAAAGAACTGGAATGATCTCAGATGTCATCTACTCCATTCTCCTGCTCAGGACAGGATCTGCTAAAGCATTTTAGATAGATGGCTATCCGGTTTCAGTTTGAAATCTTCTGATGAAGGGAAACATACTACTTCACGAGGCTATTTATTCCATTAGTTAAGAATAGCAATAGCTCTTAGACTTATATACTGCTTCACAGTGCTTTACAGCCCTCTTTAAGCGGTTTACAGAGTCAGCATATTGCCAACAATCTTGGTCCTCATTTTACCGACCTCGGAAGGATGGAAGGCTGAGTCAACCTTGAGTCAGTGAGAATCGAACTGCTGGCAGCTGGCAGTCAGTAGAATTAGCCTGCAGTACTGCATTCTAATCACTGCGCCACCATGTCTCTTTATGTCAGGCGGTTCTTCTTAATATCTAACCTGAATCTATTTCCCTGAGGTTTTAACTCATTGGTTCCAGTCTTGCCCTCTGAGGAAACAAAGTATTAGTCCACTCCCTCCTCCATATGATAACCCCTTGAAATCGTGATAGCCCCCCACTCAACCAACTCCACTTCAGCAATTCCATTTTTAGACTATGGTGCCACTAGACTATGGTGGACACTGGATTCCAAGCAAGGCAAGACTCCTGCTGAGAAGAGTGAAGTAATTATTCCCCCTGACTCCATGCTCCTCTTTATGTATCTGAAAATAACAGTGCCAGGGTATTAAAATCTTCCAGGAAAACCTTTCTCTGCATCCTACTATCAGGAGATATTCATTATGCCAACACATACAGGAGAGCCATTTCCAGACAGGGGTTCTGATTTTGGACTGAGCTCACTGGAAAGGTCCATTTGGTATCAGCTTTGATCCTGACATTAAGCCAATTCTACCTTGGTCCCGAAAGCTTTGGATTTCATGGCCTGTAACTTTAAAATGCCTGTGTGTCATTGCTCTCTATTTTGATGAAGACTGAATGGATTATAGTTAATGATTGTTTTGATTTTTTTAAGAAGTTTATGCCAATCTCAGATTTTACTGCTCCGGGGTGGGCTGGAAATAATTCATTCAATCCATCAATAACTACAAGAACGGCCATTTTCTAAATCACCTTTTATACTAGAATGCCTCATGCACACTTTGGAATTAGAATAGTACTGATATTTGGAGCAGTAGGACAATGGTTCCTGCTTCCCCTCCCACCCTTCCCCTCAATGTCTTACCATCCAATCATTGCACAGCACATGGTGACTATGTTTGCATGTAACTTCAGACCTTCAGTAATTTCCAAAATTTAAGAGTCCTTCGTGCAAAGTTTCTTAAGCTTGGTCACTTGAAGCATAGCTGATGGGGGAATGCTGGCAGCTGAAATCCATACATCTCCAAGCGGCAAGGTTGAGAAAGAGTGCCTTAGGGGTTCCTCAAGAATTCCCTGAATCCTCAGGACACAAAGTCAGGAATATAGCATGATCATATTGCAGCCAGTTCTCGACTTACAACCATTCATTTAATGGCTGTTTGAAGTTACAATGGCACTGAAAAAAATGACCAGTCTTTGTACCAGTCCTTGCACTGTCGCAGTGTCCCTGCGGTCATGGGATTAAAACTTGGATACTTTACCACCAACGTATATTTACAGTAGTTGGAGCCTCTGGGAGTCATACGATCACGATTTGTGTCAGGTTCCAAAACCAAGAAACACACTGAGTTTCTTCTAAGTAGCTTCCTTTATTGTTTCATTTAATTTGTTTTTTTACTTGTATCCCGCCTTTATTATTTTTACACAAAACTCAACGTGGTGAACATATCCAACACACCTTCCTCCTCCTATTTTCCCCACAATAACAACTGTGAGGTGGGTTGGGCTGAGAGAGTGTGACTGGCCCAAAGTCACCCAGCTGGCTTTCATGGCTAAGGCTGGACTAGAACTCACCTACGGACAGAAAAGTAGCCAAACGAAAGCAACTACTTGCTTCATTAAAGATGTACTTTGAGAACTCCTAGGGACGAGATATCTTGACCCTCTATCTCGCAACTGAACTATCTAAACTTCGCTATCTCCTGCTCCGATTTCTTCCGACAAGCTTCCAACAAGCAAAGTAACAAGCAAAGTCAATGTGACTTCCAACAAGCAAAATTAATGGGTGAAACCGGATTTGCTTTAATGACCCTTCGATTTGCTTAATGACCAAGGCAATTCGCTAACAATTCATGGCAAAAAAGTTCATAAAGGCATGACTTACTTAATGACCACGTTGCTTAGTGATGGACGTTCCAGTTCTAATTGTGGTCATAAGTCAAGAATAACTGCACAGCCTAGTAATGGTGTGAAGTTCAGTCATACCAAGCTTTGGGCTCCTGAACCTCTCCTTCCCTCTTTGCTCCAGCATGGCCAAGACCAGATTGGAAACTCACTTTTTAGAATAACTCACAATAACAGTATACATAAACTAAACTCTCAGTAACATTAACTACGTATTTTTAAATCCTCTGCTTATGAAATTGGCTTAACACCCCATCTCTGAGTAACCAGAGTTTATCATTTGGACAGTATATTCAGATGTGATTAATCTACAATGGAAAATTCCAAGTTCTTTGCTATGCTTGCATCAGAAGAAATGCAGTGTGCAGCCCTAATATGTGATGCAACATGTTCTTGCAATGCTAAACCAGGATATGAGAAACTGTGTTTCTATTCCAACTTCAATCAGCCCCCAACTAGCCCAGCCCAGGTGGAACATGGGAGCTAATACCCAAGAACTTCTGGAAGGCTACAGGTTGCTGAATTGGGGGGTGGGCAACCATAATTTACTTTTTAAGTGCAAACATAGGCGAAACATTTTCTCTTCCCGGTAAAAATAAGCCAAATATAAATTCCTTAAAAGCATATTTCTTAGGCTGAACATTAGTCCTCTGACTGTTTTGCAAAAAAGAGAGTGTAATGACTGAGCTGCAAATCAGAACAGAGGACACAAAATCCTTTAAAATATTCAGACTATTTTTTTTTCATCCAAACACCAAACACCACATAATATTTGGTTTAAATGCTGTTTACTAGCCAATCCCTTTATTGCTA